ACATTATTATGCTTATTTTTATCATAATCCCTTCATATTCACATATTTTGTATTTATATGAAAGGTTTATGATAAAAAGTAAGCAGACATAATGTTTGTAATTTATTCAATAAGACATGTCTTAAATATTGGCACTTAATAGTTTATTTACATTATTCAGACTCATCTTCATTGCCATAGTCACAATGCTTTGGCTGTTGTACACTCTGGCCTTCTTCAGATGATCAGAATTTCAAACTGAACCCTTTATTTCATCCACTGGGGTAGATTGTTCTAGTTCCACATGCCATGCCTCTTCTGATGTCTCAGTTATTTCCCTTTAACTCTCCTAGTTTTTGGGTTCATCACAGCTGTAGCCTGTAATCATAATACCTCATCTCAGAGATATAGACAGATAAAAAGTTTATATTTTGAGGCCATTTGTTTCAGTCTGTTTGTACTTTTAACTCATTCATTGTTATTTTGGATATTTGAACCCTTTACATAGAGCTTAAGATTTCCTTCAAATTAAATTTATCACACTAATGACACTAATGGGCATCTTCGGCACTGATTTTGTTTTTCTGCGTAGGACTCATTTGTGTATAAATGGGGGTTTTGACCAGAAATCCTTCTCTGCAAATCAAGATGGTTTGATTGATTTTTTTTTTTTATTGATTATCAACCCTTTCTGGGCTGTTCAAAGCCAAAACATATTTCGCATTGTAGGAAGTTTCTTACAGTACCTGGTGTTCTTAAGCAGCCCCCCTCATCTAAGTACTGGCCAAGCTCAATGTTGCTTTACTTCAGTGATTGAAAAAGCGGTTTCAGCATAATATATATATATATATATATATATATATATATATATATATATATATATATATATATATATATATATATAAAGACCCCATAAACATATATATATATATATATATATATGTTTATGGGGTCTTCATTAATAATTCAGTTTTGTACTTTTTGGAAATTTTTTTTTATATTCAGAAATATAAAAGGGAAGGGACAAAAATAAAACAGAAACTGATTAATAAATATAAATTAATTGAAGAACAGTTTTTCCCATGACACCGCTATTATTTTAGCAACCGTCACTCCTCAGTAATATTTTAAAAAGCTATGTTATAATTTTAATAAAATCTAAACATGAGAGCCAATTTATACTTGGAGGCAGAGGGGGTTCTTCAAAATTTACAAAATTATTAATATAAACACTATTTATTTATTGACTTGTTTGTTTACAAGAATAATTTTATATTTACAACATTCTAAAAACTAATGCAATATCATTTACCAATTTATAAAGAAATAAATATAAAAACACTTTTTATTCATAAATTTATAAACATTTGCTAAATTATTAAAATATTTGAGCCAACTATAAGAAAATCCTTATTATTACCATTTTATAAAGTTTGAATTGATTGGCAATTAGCCAATGTTCTGCCGACAATTCCAATAAACAATCTAATACATAAATAGTCTTTATTATTTTTGTTGTCAATTCTCAAGAACAAAGAAAATGTATAAATTTACTTCTATCATCTGTTGAGATTTTATTACAATTCTAATCATAACTTTTTAAAACAAATATGGCCGAAGAGTGAAGTGAATTAAAATAATAGCAGTTTCAATGGTAAAATCTTCCAAGATTACCAAAAAAATGAATTAAACCTGTTCAAACAAAGTTCATTACTGAAAATGAACAATTCTGACATAAATTTCTTGTAACACTGTGAACATTTGTTTTAGAACTAAGAAAATTTGCTCAGAATTTTAATTTTTTTTTTTGGCGGGGGTGGTAGATAATAATGGTTTAGTGATACAAGTCTTACTAATTAACCCATAGCTGGAGGAGAAGAGGTGGATTCATGCCTTTCCTAAGGGTACTTACTGTTGTGTTCTTTGTCATCTCTGGGTCTCCACACTACTACATGAAATAGAATCAGCGAAAAGAATGTTTTCTTATTCGTTTTATTAGGAGAGAGTGTTGGCAGCTTGGATTTTAAGAGGCAACAAGAGGAATGACTTCACAGAAACGCATGTTGCACGTTGACTCAGTGTCCCATTACAGGTGGTCTTAGTCTTTCAACCTGGGTGTGAGAGGCATATTGACACTTCAGAATTCTTGTGACCCTTTATTGAATTCGAGCTGTTTTGGCCTTGTACCCAAAACCCAGACAAAGGCAATCCATCATTGTCAGAATACCACACACATGAGGTACTCTGGCCAATTGCTGACCATTTTGGTCTTTGCATTCTGTAACAAGTAAAAATGTAATTTTGAAAAGATCTATCACGGTCAAGATCATATTGTCATTGTGAAGGCCACTATCAAAATATATTACAGAATAAGCTTCCATTCAAATATTTTATATTTCTGCCTTTCACTTCACTTCTATATTATATGTTTTGAAACTATATATATATATATATATATATATATATATATATATATATATACTGCGTTTTTGTTTTTTTTTTTAATTTTTCTCTTTCATGGATGCCATGGTCTTTGGAGGCTTGTTTAAATACCAAGTTAATGGCCTTTTAAGCTTCCTTCACGTGAATTGCAGTAAAATTTTGAATATATAAGAATTAAATATTACAGGGGTGGTGCACCAGAATTTTAGAAATACCGAAATGGGGCCATGCTCAAAATCGTTTGCGAACCACTGATATAAATGATAATGGTAGTTGTTGCGTTTTGTGTTGTCACTGAGTCCCCATGTTACTACATAAAATGGTATCAGTGAAAAGGACCATTTCTTTTTCTTATTCATTTTATTAGAACATGTTGGCAGTTTGGATTCTAAGAGGCAGTGGAAGGAATGATATCACAGGAAAACATGTTGTATGTTAGCTCAGCATACCTCTACACGTGGTCTTAGCTGGTTGCTAATCTGGGTATTGTAGGCATATTGAGGCATCAGAATTCTTGTTGCATTCATGCCATTTTGGACTTACATCCAAAAACCTAGACTGTCAGAATACCATGCCCACAAGGCACTCCGGGCAATTGCTGGCCATTCTGGCCCTGGCCTTTGCATTCTATAACATTGCATATAAGTGAATATAGCAGACCGAACAGGAATTCAAATTCCGAGCCATTATCCATTACACCACCTGTACATCCAAGCTTACAGCACCTGGTATTTCAAAACGGTCACCAATTTAGGTACTGCTCAGGCTCAACATTGCATAATTTTGCTGATTGTACAAAAACTAGTGTTTCATTATGATGTGGCCATAAGCTTTTTTTACTATTTTGGGAGTTAAACACCATAACATACATCAAAATCATAACCATTTTAGAGTATGGAACGTCTTGTTCCTTTACAAGATGAAGCATCTCAGCAACTATTAAATTTTGACTCATATTTCTTTTGGCTTACTAGGGTGTGCTGAAAATTTTTTGTCCCACCCACTTCCTGAAATATAATCAAACATCAGAATTTTTTGTAAGGAAAAAGGTCTTCTGGTCAGGCTTAGAACTTTTCGACACCTGCTTGTAATTTTATTTGCTTTTCATTGCAACTATTCAGCCTCTGTGGCTATCAACAAATAGTTTCAATTGCTAATAAAGAATAAGCTCTCATCCCTCTTTCTTGAGAAGCCTGGTTATCAGTAACAGCTGCTCTGTCATTTAAGCTACAAGCACCTCCAGGTGAATAAGATCAAAATTAAACCTGCTGATTTCCTTTTTTTTATTTTTTCCCTACAACTCAATGTCATATTTGTTATTTAAAAATGGTAACATAGCAACCAAAAGAGCTATGGTAGAGTAATGGATAGCAGCTCAGATTGAGGAATTGGAGATCCAAATTCGAATTTCATTCGAATCCATTACATTCATTTATGTGCTAATATCCTTGGGAAAGGTATGAATCCTCTTCTTCCCCCAGCTATGAGTAAATAGCAGGACAGATTGGGTTCTATAGCCTTGGATGGCAACTGGTCTACCGCAGAAAGAAATGGCAACCTATGACGGGAAAAAAAATCTGCCTCATCAGTCATGTATCAAAAGATACATGATCGCCTGAGCGTGTATCATGTATGGCACATAACTGACAATATAGAAAGGAGTTTGAATAATTGTAATAAAAACGCTATTGAAATTAAGATGAAAGAAAGACTTGTTAAAAATGGATAAATATATATTATCTTCATTTATATATAAAGCAATGTTTTCAGTATTAAAATATTTTTGTATATTGGTCCATTTGGGCTAATTTTCTCATTTTCTTTTCTTTTTTTTTTCTTATCGCAGCATTTCAACTTCTGTACTCTCTGACATTCCTTGAGAAACTGAAAGATTTGACATTCCAAAAATCTGACACCTGCTGTTGGCTGGAGATTACAGCAATCAAACCTTGTGATAAATGCTACAGATGAAGAAATTAGTTCAAATTAACCAATATACAATGATTACAACCAGTAGCAGTCTGGGTGTAAAAAAATATTGGTTGCTCTCAACTACAAACCTAAAAGATATGCCTGCGTAGCTAATTGGTATTTAATTGATTAATTGGTTCATTTATTATGAATTATCAACCCTTTACTGGTTATTTAAAGGCAGAAAATATTTTTAGATTCTAAGAATTACAATATGTATATAAAGTGAGGAATCAATTATATATTACAGTGAATATAAAATAAATCCCCCATTTTGTAGCCACGGTAGTTTCTCGACATTTACATCCTAGAGAATGTAAATAAACCTAAAAGATATGCCTGGGTAGCAAATCAGTATTTGATTGATTGATTGGTTATCAACCCGTTACTGGTTATTTACAGCCAGAAAATATTTTTCGATTCTAAGATTTTTTTAAGATAATAATGATTTAGTGATACAGGTCTTACTAATTAACCCATGGTGGGGAGAAGATGTGGCTTGATACCTTTTCTAAGGTATTTGTGTGTAAGTGAATATAATGAACCCAACTAGAGTAGGAACTCATCTCTCCATTTAACAATTCTGAGTCACTACCTGAACATCTAAGCTTACAGCACCTGATATTCCCAAATGGTCACCCATCTAGGTACTGACCAGGCTCAATATTGCTTAACTTCAGCGATCTGACAGGAACCAGTGTAAAAACGGAGAATAAATTACATCCTGGAGTTTAATACAATCCTATAGCACAACCGTCACCATGTAATTTTTTTTTTTTAAGTTGTACCATTATATCCATTAAAATCTCAATGTCATACATATATTTCACTAAAATATTAAAGAATAGTAAATAATTAGCCCCCACTTTTTGCTTTTAACTATCATTCTAAGTTTCTTGTATTATGCACAAGAAAATATGGTAGATAGATGCGAATAGATTGAGGTAGGTAGGTAGGTAGATATATGCGAATAGATTGAGGTAGATAGATAGATAGATGCAAACAGAGTGAGGTAGATAGATAAATGTGAACAGATTGAGGTAGGTAGATACATAGATAGATACATGCGAACAGATTGAAGTAGATAGATGCAAACAGTGAGGTAGATAGATACATGCAAACAGATTTTATTATGCACACTTATATCTGTTTTTATGAGATATATTTTCTAAGTTTCAGGGAAAGGTGCTAACAAGATATACTTGGCAATACATTTTAAAGTGTTAATTAATCTACTGTATTTTTCTGTTTGATAAGAATTTATTATATTTTTATACATTAATAATCAATGAAAGTAAACAAAATATTGTCTTTATTAAGAATGAAAAGAGAAAACGTTATAAAAAAACAATAAATGCTAAATATAATAAAACTTTATCTTGTGATCAAGTGCATTTACAATCTTGCTCTTCCAAATAAGGAGGCTTTTTAAGATGAGTAAAAATGTCTGAAAATATATACTTCTGTATAATGCCCATCCCCCCCCCCCGCCCAAGAAATTACAGTAGCTTTTGGATGTATGACATAAATGAAATTTAAAATGATTTTCTATTTCTGTAATAAAAGTACATTTATCTGAACATCAGATTATGTATTTAAAAAAATTTAAAACCTTTCTTGGTTGTGCTGAAGACTTTTCAGTATCAATTATATAATAACTAGATTCAAAGATTAAGCAAACTATTTATTTGAAAAATCTCTGTCATAGATCATTTACAGATACAACGGGTCCTCATTATCCACTGTAGATTGGTTCCCCATCAATGAAACTATTCAGACAGTGCTATTTTATCATTAAGCCCATTTGATTACAGAGAAGACACAAAAACTGGAAAGCCAACTAAAAAAATTAGAGAAAAATATTTCAGTCATAAGTGAGAAAAACTTAAAAAAAAAAATACATTTGATATTTTCATCCTCAAAATCGGAAATGAAATGTTTTAAGGACATTTAAATTACATTAATATTGTATCATTATATTATCTTATTTATAAACTATTCTAGCAGGCTTCACCCATTCACTATCGTTTCACAAAGTAAGATATATTCACGACTTGAAATCTTTGAAACAAAAATTTTAAATGAACATTTCATTCATAAATTGGCTTGTTATAGTTAAGGAAAGTTTTACAAATAGATGCCAACTTGTTGAAGGCCAAGTAAAATGCAAATGTTTCTGCACTATATAAGGCGATATTCCTAAACAGAACTATTTTTGATATGAAAATTAAAACAATCCTTGGATAAAAGAACAGAATTTGTGGGAGAATTGAGTTCCAATTTTATATTTATTCATATAGATTCCATAATATAGGTTTTACTTAATTAGCTAACATGTTTCTCTAACTCCTCAAATGTTGAATGTATAACTAATTCTTTTTTCCCATCTTTACACTATATTAATTTTATCATATAAATTGTCCCCTGTTCTGTCACCCATGAAATAAAAATAATTGTTTGTATAGAAAATAAGGATCTACATATATCAAATCATCTTTAAATTAAGTGGCAGCAGAAGAATTATTATTGAACTTTTAAAAGGTAAGCTTAAACATTGATTCAATACTTAAATGCAGCGATCAATTTTGAGTTCTTCTGTAGTTTGTTAATGCTTATCGCATCTACTCCTCCCTAGCTATTATGATGATGGCCAAACCAAGAGTTCTCCACAGGAGGTAGCTTAAATGCCACCTGATAGGGCAGCTTTTAAGCTAGTTTATAATAAAATGGGCACTGCAATTTTGGATACAAAACGAAAATAAGAGTTCCTCTCCTTGAACCATGAAAGCAACGATAATATAATATATTAATATATATTTTTAATCTTGCATAATCTGGCAACCCTGAATCTGAGCTCAATGAAAATTATTCCCTGCACATAACTTTTCTCGGGCTTTTGAATGAGCGATGAATCATTGAAATAAGACCAGTGAAAGCAGAGGATTTGCTTGGACACACACACACACTGTACTTTATATATAAGATTGTTCTGTCATTATATTATTTTATGATTATATCATTACATCATATAATATATAATTATATAAAAAAAAAAACATAACATTATATATTATTTTGAAAATAATAAAATATATATATATTATACTGTGCAATGTTATATGTGTGTGTGTGTGTATATATATATATATATATATATATATATATATATATATATATATATATATATATATATATATATAGGAGAGAGAGAGATAGATAACATTGTTTAATATATATAATTATTATAATATTTTATTTACAAAATTTTCTATATTTATTATAATTAATATTTTATTATAATTTTCAAAATAATTTTTTCAGGAAAGTTTTTGTTAATATTCTATTCCTTTGAAAATTATTTTGAAACGTGGATTTAGTTTAATAAAAATTTGAACATGAAAGTTTTGCCGATTGGAGCAGCTATGGAAAAATGAAACCCCAGTTGGTGCTTCTGTGGATAGTGTGTTCTTACTGTATATACTAAATTTAGATTTATCTAAATAGGTGAGCAATGGAAAGGAGCTACCTGCAGAATTTATATAATTTACAAATCATTACTAATATTTTTGTATTTTCTCTAATACTGTCATTTTTGCAATAAACATGGCAACTATTTTATGAATACAGTTTAGATAGGTAAGATAATTCTACAAGTGGATTTGTAATGGGTTCACCTACTCTTACTGACAATCAAGATATGCTCAAGATACACTTCTCACTAAAGATTGAAATCCTATTATTTTTATATATTATATAGTTAATATAATATAGTAATTTTTTGAAATGATTTTTTTATTCAACATTATTTCTTATTACTATAAATTTTATTTTTAGTGGATACACAATTTTGAGTTGTTACCCATATTTTTGACTGACTTGTATTAGTCTGGCTCCATGACTGAACTGCTAGAGGCATGCTTTAGTTTAAGAAGTGGTTTCCATGAGGTAAAAAAAAAAAATGTATGCAGGTTCGATTCCTATTGGAGGCTGAATTTTGCTTTAGTAGGACTTCTCAATTTAAGTCAGTTGTTATCAATTTCGCTGTTTGATAAAATAAAAAAACAGGGTTAACAACTGAAATATGTACCCAGTAAAAATAACATTTACTAGAAAATATATAGTTTATGCTAATAATGAGGCGAACGATATGTTACATTATGGTGACAAAAGATAACTAATGGTATCACATGTCGTAGTCAACAGTTAATGGGTGATAATATCCATGATATAATAACACTCCATTTCACAGATGGAATGGAAGAGCTGAAAGAAAATGAATGACAAACATGCTTTGTTTTCAGAGTTTTATGCTACTAAGTTGAACACAAGATTATGTAAATGTTTTTTCCCACACACAGAAAATATATCATATGTCTACAACAGCAATTAGTGGGAAAAGTAATATTTCCCAGATGGAAAACTAAAGGTAAAGCAGTTTCTTTATGAACCTGGTAGGGCCATGTGTTTTTTTTTTTTTCTGTAACACCTGTCACTCTGGGCTAAGTTCTCTGGGCCTTACATTGCAATTAGTTTTGTGATTTTATTTCCTGATATCCCTCACCGACCACCATATGACCCTCTTGACTTTATCTCAACAACAGGGTGATAATCTCCTTTTTGTGTCCCTCCACTCAGATGGCTAGTTTTCTTCTTTTATTTATTTTATTTCCTATTAAAGGTTGTGAAATATTTTACCTGTTTGTCTTAACTCAGGAAAAATAGATATAGATTATCTGATTATTTTAGACATTTTTTTTTTTTTTTTTTTACAGTGAGGTTCACCCTATACAAGGCCCAGGGGCCTCTCAAGGTAGAGGGTTACAGTAACGGGCAGTTTATGCAGACAGGAGGAGAAGATAACGCTTAACCCTAGACTTCAACAGTTTAAGATTGTAGTGAAACATCCTCTTGTAGTGGTTCGCAGGATGAGGCTTTTTCAGTGTAATACAGAGCGAATGTAAGTGGTTTGCTGCAATGTGAGTTGTGTAGTGGGTCTTGGCAGAACCAAGGAATGTAGATCATCTGAATACTTTCCATGAAAGCTGTGATAGAGCAGTGAGAGGCTTGACACACCCAGCCTGTGAGAGAGGGGTTGCAAGGTGAAAAATAATTTGCCACCTAAAAGGACCCTGGGTACAATCTTGGGCTCTATTGAGAATGCAATATAAGGACTGGGCATCTCCCACCAAAATAGGATAGCTGTACTCCATTTTAGGTCTCATCTAGCTCTTGTAAACATAGTAGATAGCACAAGGAATCAGGTACTTACTGGGGCGGTTTGGGGAACTGACATATTTCAATAGCAGAAATTATCAAATGTCTGCTAGAGTTTCAAGGGACAAAACGGAGACTTCCATTGTAATTCTAATATTTTCTTTCTTTCAAGAATTTAAAAAATTCTCTCAAAACTTAGAAACAAAGAAATCAGTTCTTAATTGCAGAATCTGCTTTAATAGGGAAAAGAACAAAAATGGTGATTTTTCTGTTTATGCCCATAGATATCTTGTCTGATAACTGTTTCTACAAATATCAAGGGGAAGGATTCACAGATCTTCTTTGCTATGAGCAAGTATTCCCACCATTTATTACTTGAAACTGTTGCCTGTCACACACTGGAATTTAGAATAAGTACTACATTAAGCTAAGTATAGTACAATAACCTGCCTCCATCTGTCAGTATTATCAATAGTTATAGTAATTATT